TATGCAAGACTAAGCAGAGGTTTTAAGGTAGTCAAAATTTACAGTAGAGCCCAGGGCCCGATTAACCTCTGAAAATAGGGGAAGCATAATAGGATTTTGGGGCCCCCCTAACTTGAGCAAAAGAAACTTTTGATATTTTTCGCCCATAAACAATACATTTTAAAGAGACAAGAACCATGTGAAAACTATTAGAACCTTAGAAAGGANCTTATAAATAAATCCTGCCCCGAATGATATGCAAGACTAAGCAGAGGTTTTAAGGTGGTCAAAATTTACAGTAGAGCCCTTCCTCACGTTTCACTCGGCTACTGAACGCCGACGAACTTTTTTTTTTAAACAAATTCAGTTGACAGCATCTGGCAACAGAAAATATGTTTACAATCCTGGAGAAATTGCGTACGTTGTTTTGCTTCTCACTACGTTTTTGAATTTATGATGTCTAAAAAAACTTCTTATCAGCATTTTGAGTAGAGTTATTTGAAAAAGTTCGATTTCATTCAGAAATCTTCTAAAGATCTAACTCATGCTTTATTTCCTCCTTGCTGATCGGAATTTTCTATAACGCATGGTGGTCGCAACGACATTTGTGTTCACGCTAAAACTAAAAAACACAAAGATAATTGAATCGCGGTTAAAAACAGTCAAAAGATTGATTTATTTGAGAAAAGTAACACATCACACGAGAATGCCGTTACTAAAGCTGAATATTTGTTCACTGCATTCATTGTGGAACATAGTTTACCACTCGGCTGTTCTGATCATGCAGGGAAATTATTCCGAAAAATGTTTCCGGATTCAAAAATTGCCAAAAGTTATGGATGTGCTAGAACTAAAACCTCGGCAATCGTACGAGAAATTGCGTCTAAAAAACACTGAATGTGACAGAGCCCTTTTACCGTTTCTGTGAACTGTATTAATTTCAGTGATCCAAACTGCATCCCATTGTTATAAATTATTTCAACTTACACCCAATGGATTCTTCCAAGGCTAAAGTTGACTGTGTGTTACTATCACTGCCAGTTTTAGTAGGGGATTCAACTGGTGTGAATTATTGGTAATCTAGTTTTAACTAGCCTGAAATCACTTCACATATCAATTGACAATACTCCTCTAATGGTGGGGCAGAAGTCAGGTGTTTTTACATAAAGCATATAGGAATGTAGCCTTGCTGTTGTCACTTGCTGCAGAAAGAGGTCCTTGCCTTTTAAGATTGATGAATACTCATTGATCCTCAACTTTTCTGAGGGCAAGGAAAAAGTTCTAAAAGAAAAAAGCGACTCAGAGAATTTCAAAAGCCTCATGATACGGAGATAAAGAAAATCCTCAACCATGTTTCCACAAGATGGTTATCTGTAGATAACCATCTATTACATGTGCCTTGCTTCTGTAATAGAACAATAGCAACCATTTATGATTTTTTTTTTTTAAAGAGGATTGCTCAATGAAAAGCAGTTCCTCATCCTTGTATAAGATTCCAAAAAAGTGATAATGTTTAAAATAGTGATTCTTCAAGCTGCATCTCTTCTGAATATGGTTCTAAAAAAAGAAAGGAGGCATTTGGAAAAGTTACATCATCAATTTTTATTCAAGAGGAGAGACTTATTCATTTCTTTTGTAATGATTCAAACAAGACCTTTTGTTTATTTCTATCTAATGTTGTTTCTTTGTTTGATAATGTTAATACATTTTCATGTTCCTAGAGTGATTTTTCTCCCATAATTTGAGATTCTAAGTAGGTAAATTGTTGCAAGTCTGATATTGTACGTTTTTATGTCTGATTTTGTATGTTAAAAAATCATCTGCACTAAGTAATTAACATATTTGGTGTCACCCCTTTAAACCATTAAGATTCAGTTTTATTGCCTGATGGTATGATCACCAAATAAAAAATAATGTATGGTGTATTATTTTTTGTGCTTTGTACTTACCAAGTTTTAATTATGTAAAATACATGAATTAAGTTCGAAGAGAAAATTAACTATGTCTTATTATTCGTGGAATTACACAATTAGTAATTGATATTATTTATTTTTAGGTAATATTACTACAACAAAGAAAAGTTCAGTTTAAATAACTTCTTTTCTGCAAGAAATCTTATTAGTAATTCTAAATATTCAACTTTTTATGGGCAGTTAAAAATTTATAGTAATTTCACTTTGCTTAACATAAATAATGTGATAATAAAAGTTTTTCAGTGATTAATTTTTTCAATATTTAAAATATTATTTGGACGCTAATTTTTTCTTTTATTTATTATTAATTTGTATGTATATTTATTTGTAAGTGTTGTTTAATGGCTATTTTAATAAATTTATTAGTTCTATGTTATTTGTAAAATTATTTTCTTACTTGATATTTTTATGCAAAATCAAGCTAGAAATGAGTTATTATTTTTGCTTTTATCGGAATTTTAAATTAAGATAATATTCCGCAAGAGATTCTAAATAGTAATGAACTACCATGAACATATTCTAGGGAAATTTATCTATAGTGGTTTGCATTAGCTGAAATTCTATCTATATTTAGGGTTTAAAGTTCATGCGCTTTCAGAAAAAATCTAATGCAGTGAAGCCTCTTGGAAACGACCATTCTCTGTTTTACATAGTTAAATGGTCCTTGTGGCAGAATTTTTTCGAGCTGTCTGCGACAAAACTGTCACTTGGCACTAGAATCTTTTTGCAAGATACTTTTAATAATAACAAACATTTTAAATTAGTAACATATATGTTTGTTATTATTAAAAGTACCTTGCAAAAAGATATTAGTATATAACACAGTGCTTTTGTTATTTTAAATTAGAAACATATATAACAAAAGCACTGTGTTTACAAATATATAATTTTTATTTATTGAATATGTAAAAAATTTTTATTCTAATATTATTAGTGTTATTCTCGCATTTTGGTGGGGGGACACTAAATAACGATTTTTGTAAATAATAAACATAATAAAAAATATAATTAAAATTCATGAAATCCGTTGAAGTAATCGCCAAAAAAACATCGCTTATGAAATCACACGAATTAGATACCTAAAAAAGGAGATTACTCAAATGTGTGTTTCCTATCTGCCTGGTTTATTTAGGGATGGGAAAGTGAGATAAAAGAAGCAAACAAGACAAAATGCTTATCGCTACATTCCCCTCTATAGATGGTCTTAAAAATAGTTATATGTATTTATTTTGTAGAAATTTCAAAATTATTGCAAAAGAAATGAAGAAAAAAAATCAGTGAAGACCGAAAAAAGTTCATTATATCCAACTTCCTCACTTTTTTGGTTCACTATATCTACGAAAAATAAGATTATACGTGTCTAGCAAGGCACAGGACCGAATATTTCGTTCACTATATCCAGGAGTTCACTATAAACCATGTTTACTATAGCAGGGTTTGACTGTATATATAAAAAATATGTCAGATTTTCTTTATCTTTAAGAAAGGGTTAAAAGTACTTGATACTAAAAATACTTATTTATTCTTTTGATTTCTGAAACTAATACTTGTTTTTAAGTAATTTAATTTTAATTAAAATAAATTAATCAGAAATATTTCCGTTTTTCAGTGTGATGAAGATGTAGGATGTAAAACAAAAGGATTTCAGAATGATTCAACTAAAATTCCACCACCTTTTCATAGCCATAAGATTGTTTCTGAGTCTTTTTTTCTAAAAGGTAAATTTGCATTTCTATTCTATAAATGATCTTTTTTAAGTTTTTAATTCTGTGATAAATTTTTTCTTCTAATATTGCAGAATTAGAACATGTTTTGTATTCAACATAATTAATGTGAAATATACATTACCTGCTGCAAATATATTTAGTAATCTGAATATTTATTAGATTAGAAGTGCTGTTAAGAATACTATTTGTTTTTGTGTTTTAAAAATTTTTTTAAAAAAATTTAATATTTTATGTATAATTTTTTTTTTAAACTTGCCTTAACTGATGCTAATTAATTTTACTTTATATTAAAGACTAATTCACTACTTAATTTTATCTAACTGTAAAGTTATTTTTTTTAATATGTGTTTTTACTGTGTTGATTAGAAGTTAATAAATATAACTTTTACCTGTAAAAAAAAAAAAACTTTCCATGTATCTTTTAATTATTTCATAATATACTTCAGTTCAAATAATAGTTTTTCTTTAATGAAAGAAAAAAAATCCAATATTTTTCTTCTTAAAAATATTTTTATTTTATTGTTTAAATCTGTATCTCTTAAAATTTTGTTTTTATTCTGTACAAAAAGTTAGTTGTGTTATGATAAAAGAAATTTTGAAATTCCATTCACAGTATTTTTATTAATTTTTCATTGTAATAATAATATTTCTAAACCTGCTCACATCTTTTTCATTGTATTTTAAATTTTAAAAAATCTATATTAAAATCAGCAGTCCCCCAAAAGTATGATTAACTACACAGTTTATATCCCAGATAAGTATGAGTCTCTGGAACTTAAGGCATTTTAGTAATCTTTCTTTTTTTAATTTTTCTTTCTTTTAATTTTTGCAATAAACAGCAAAACTGGTTTGATTAGAAAAGGAATCTGAAGGGAGTTGAAATGTGATTATTTGAAAGAACCCTGCAAATTTCAACCTCTACTTAAACCTGTTATGGTGTTTATTACTCGCACCTTCCTTTGTGTAGTTTCTCAGATTTGATAGTAAAAAATTATTATATGTTCAATAAAAAAAAATTATGCATATTTTTTTCTTATTTTTTCCTTTTGTAAATGCTTTTGTTATTTTAAATTAGTAAGATATATGTTTGTTGATTATTAAAAGTATCTTGCAGAAAGACATTAGTGGTGGAGAGTTTTGTCACAGGGAAAATGATCTTATCTTGCATATTTTTATTGATGTACGTGTTTTATCTATTATAGATACATTCAGCTATTGCATAACATATATTACTTTTTATATCAGTATACTTTAAGTATTTTCACAAATATGTACATTTCTTACATATATGAATTTGTGTACAACAGTCATATTAAAAAATTTTTAATGTTGTTTTGGCAAAATCTTAGATTTGAGATGATTTTTTGTAATCAAAATTTTGACAAAATAAATCAGGGAAAAAGTTGATACAATATTAAATGTGTTTTAAAGTGAAGCTTAAGAAATGTTGATAAAAAGTTTTTTTCTTATTTTATGGATTTTCCTTTTCTTGGATTTCCTTTTTTTTATGGATTTCTTATGTTGAAATATGTTTTTTTTTTT